TATTTACTGGGTTTTTTGTTTGTTTTGTTTTGCTTTTTTTGAGGCGGAGTCTTACTCTGTCGCCCAGGCTGGAGTGCAGTGCTGCGATCTCGGCTCACTGCAACCTCTGCCTTCTGGGTTGAAGCCATTCTCCTGCCTCAGCCTCCTAAGTGCCTGGGATTACTTAGGTGTGCACCACCATGCCCTGATAATTTTTGTATTTCCATTTTTAGTAGAGACGGAGTTTCACCATGTTGGCTAGGCTGGTCTTGAACTCCTGATCTGAAGAGATCCACCTGCCTTGGCCTCCCAAAGTGCTGGGATTACAAGCCTGAGCTGCTGCGCCCAGCCTCATTAGCATTTAATTAATGGCTCTTTCAGTGCTTTAGTTTCCCATCTTCCAAAGTCCATACATTTACTTTTTTTTTTTCTAAAAGACAAGACATTTGACATATAAACTATACTTATGTTCAATATATAAGTTTGGAATATTTGTATTGTGAATTTTATTTTGTTACATTTCTATTCAATAGTCTCCTACTATATAGAACTACTCAGTTTTTTAAAACTTTTCTAATACAAATCACTTTCTTTGTGTTCAGGAATGCAAGTATTTCATCCTTTCTTTGGTTTATTTCTTTCGTTAAGTTTTGGATCAACTTTAATACTTCCTTTAAGATAGTATACCTTTTGTTCTGTATTATCTCTCTGTTTGAAACCACCTGTTCAACAATTTTCCTAGAAGAAGACAGCGGAGGAAAGTCTGGGTGTTACCTGACCATGATAGTAATTAGGCAACCAGAATGGATGAGTTTTCAGAGGAATTTAATGTAAAGGAAATAGAGCAGAAAACTAAAGTCTGAGCCTTGACTTTTCTGAAGCCACATCCAGGGAACTGAAGATAAAGTAGCCACCACAGGCAGGAAGAATTTAAATAATATAACAAAAATGATAACTGAAGTCAGAATGTATACTAAAATGGGATCAGCAACTTTTTTTCTTCTGCAAATGGCCAGATAGTAAGTAAATATCTTAGACTTTTCAGGACATATGTCTGTCATTATAACATGAAAGATGCCATAATATTTAAATGAATAGGTATAGTAGGGTTATAATACATCTTCATTTCTGTAAATTTGAATCTCATATAATATTTACTTGTCACGAAATGTACTCCTTTTTTAATTTTTTTCCAACCATTAAAAGATAAAGAAAACATTCCTAGTTTCTGGATATACCAAATTAGGCAGTGGGCCAAATTTGGCCTGCAGGACCATTATTTGAGAATCTCTGCCTTGCAAGAATGAAAGAACCTTTTATGACAAATCAAGTGTCTGAAACAGCTAAAGGCAGCCGAAATTACAAGCAACTTGAAAGCAAGCATTCTTTCATATTCATGTTTTCCTTTTCAAGCATAGCTTTGCACAACATTCTTCACATAGTAAGCTCTCAATAAATGCTTTCCAATGAGAAATAAAGGATAAAAATTGGAAATTCTGAGGCCACTGGTGACTTTGAAAATATATCTTTTAAAATAGATGATGTCATGAAAGCCTGTTTGAAGCATGGTCAGTTTAGAGTGAAAGGTTGGGAAATGGAAGAAAGGTTGTTCAAAAGTCTGAAGATAATTAGATGGATGATTGAAATGGAAATATTAATTCAATTGAAGCTGTTTTATGAAGTGTTTCTTAAATTTATGGGGCAATGTTAATGTCTGAATAATTGAATAGTTAAAATTATAAGAAAAATTGAGGGCAGGTCTTTCTGAAAGTAAGGAGTAGTGGACATATCTTTTAAGATTAGATAGAAGGATGAGAGGAGGTAGTCCTGACAACAACTTATTGAGGTGGAATTAAGGAAAATAGACGTGTTTGTGAGAAATATTTGTCTTTAGGAATGATACAGGATGACCTGAGAAGGAGAATATGAAGAGGAAGGAAGGAAAGATTGGAATTTAAAGATTTTAAGGCAAAGTATTTTTAATAGGTAATTAGTCTAATAAATGAAAATGGCAACATCCTAGTAGAAGACAAGTGTATATATGATTCTGTTTGATTTACCTTGGCTTAGCAAATAAGATATTAGTAACATTATTTAAAATGCTAATTAAAATTTGTACCATCAATAGTGATATAACTTGTACTCTTTAACATTTTGGGAAAGTATAATACATGTGTAGGAAATATGTGATTAAATATGGAAAAGATCCAAAAGAAATAAATTCTAAATATACATTAGAATTGTCTTTTCCCGGACTCTCATCTCCGTTAGTTTATACCTTATTAATTCTGTTCACTCTAAATGTTAGTATACATTTCTGTAAAAGTGATTTAATAATACTCTTTGATATAATCCCTGGCAGCTTTCTTCATCAGTATGTATTATCTTAATCTTATTTTTCATCTCTGGATTCTGTGTCTCCTTTTTGTCCCATTAAATCTCTAATTCATGCTAAAAAAACATTCCTCTACTATTTTTCTTCCATAGAAATAAATATTAATATGAGAAAATAAAAGAGTGCTATCGTAAAGTGAGAAATAATATAATTAGAAATAATATCATAAAGCAAAGCAAAGAAAATCCAGGATTACTGTCAGGGAACTTTTAATGGCTTTGTAAAAATGATTGTAAGTCTGGTCAAGGATGTCTTATTGGGACAGCATCCAAATAGAAACTAATTCCCAGCAGAGCAGTGTATTTTACTGTTGAATAGTTCTGTAGCAAACAAAGGGGTGGAAATCGTTCGTGGTTCAGCAGTTGTTTGGCTGACAGTTACATGTCAGGTCGCTGACACTTTTCATTACTTTGGCAGGTTTTACACAACGGCGAAGAATTTGTAAACAATTTCCCTGTATTCAGAGCCTTTCACCAACCTTAGTTCCCACTTTTTTCCCACTTCTTCATGCCTCTCAAGTATATATTTTATCTAGTGTTTGTTTCCCGCAAAATAGATTCTTGTCCTTGACATTAAGTATACTTCTGAAGAAAAGGTTGTCTTAGAAAACAGTGTGTCAGTAGGAATTGGTGAATGAAAGTATAATACTGCATTCTAAGCACTTAGTGAAGACAGACTTCTGCCTCCAGGTTTGGGTTACCTCCTTAAGAGTGCCAAGGACTTTACTCAGGTTGACCTCCCGAATAGTCACCTGTAATGGCCATGGTACACAGAATTAATTTCATAAATCCAGGACTACCTGAAACACCATACGATACGTGCTTCATTTTCAGTCTTTCCGCTTATGCCTTAGAAGCTTAGAACAATCTCTGCTGTTCAGAGGAGAACACTATTGTTTTATGTTCCTAAACCATGCAACACTGAACCAGATCTTAAAAATTAATAGACACTCCAGAGCCTTCCTGAATTAGACCTGACATTTGGAGAACATTAACCGCAGGCCACACACTGGATGTCTCATTGCAAAGTGCTTTGGTATTTACATTAATTACCAAATTTTATGCAAAAAGAAAAACCACCTACAATGGTTATGCAGCCTGAGAAAGGTTACATTTTTTAGTTGTTCAATGTGGTTACTGAATGTCAAATGTGGTATACTGCTATCAGTGTTATCTTTAGAAATAAATGCTTAGTGATACTGATAATGAGAGTGTGGTTGATTTTTGTCTTATGATTATTAAATACATATGCTGAATGGGATCTGCTGAAAAACGAATGTTTTTATATAGATTAGAAAAAATAGTCTTATTGTAAGTTAGCATAGAGATAATAACTGGAGTATACAAATAAATGAAATTAGACATTAGTTGTTAATTATCAGACAAAAAAATCAAATACTGGAATAATTGTTTATCATTATATTATTATATAAATAACTCTTTCTTACTGCACAGACCTTTTTTTTTTTTTTTTTTTTGAGACAGAGTCTCACTATGTCACCCAGGCTGGAGTGCAGTGGCATGGTCTCAGCTCACTGCAAGCTCCGCCTCCCAGGTTCAGGCCACTCTCCTGCCTCAGCCTCCTGAGTAGCTGGGACTACATGCACCCGCCACCGCGCCTGGCTAATTTTTTTGTATTTTTAGTGGAGACGGGGTTTCACCATGTTAGCGAGGATGATCTCTATCTCCTGACCTCACGATCCTCCCACCTCACCCTCCCAAAGTGCTGGGATTACAGGCGTAAGCCGCCACACCTGGCCTGCACATACGTTTTATGTACATTTTAACTAGTCTCTCTTATTTGTGGTTTTTCTAACTGTGATAGAACAGTTCGTAAAAGAAAACCCGAAAACACTTCATACACTTTTACTTATGCTGTGACTCCCAGGATAAATCACAAGGGCTTGCATATCTCTTCCACAACCATTTTTTGACAATATGAAGGAAAAGAGGAAATAGAGGGGGTTTTTTGGCCTCATTTACGGTCATCTAACACAAAGTATTCAATCTTCAACCAGAAGGCAGTTCTAGGGTAAGGAAGCATAATAAGAAGCTTTGGGAATACTGAAAGATTTTATAAAATTTGACCTTGATTGAAAAATAAAACAACCATTGAGAATAACTACCTTATTATAATTTATTTAAGCTTTGATTTACTAGAAATTAAAAGAATCCTGAAATATTTTCCAGAAGATTATATGACTTAACAAAACTATGAATTTGCTATGAGGACAGCCATTAATGTTGTGAAAAACTCAGAATATACTTTAAGTGTGACATTTATTCTGTTAAAGAAACTTGAGACTGGGAAAATTTGGGGAAAGATGTTGGACTTTTTGAAGTTGCTGAGTTATAGCCAAGTAGGAAAAAAAATGAAAGAACTGCATTTTACTAGAAAAATAAGTAATTAAGAACATAAAATGTACTTTAAAGGAATCTCGTTTACATTGCTTTCCATACATATTTAATGAACTGAAATATTTTCTATTAATTAAACTTTATTTATATATATTTAACATTTGATGCTGAAAGTAGTAAAGAGTGAAACATTAATTTTACCCATGATATTGTCAGGTATGTGTTATACTTTAAGATATAAATTTCATTTTATCTTTCCTAAATTACAGGATGAAGTCTGTCCCAAAGCTGAGGGAGATGAAGTTCAGAGGTGTGTGTGGGCATCAGCTGTTAATGTCAAAGACAAGTTCATTTATGTTGCACAGCCAACTTTGGACAGAGTCCTTATTGTTGATGTGCAGTCCCAAAAAGTTGTTCAGGTATGAATAATTACTGCTTGTGGACAAGCAAATCTTTAAAAAATATTTATATTATTGCAGTAATCTTTTCCAGATAACTTGATTGTCACTGATAATATGTTTCCTTACTTGGATAACTAGAAAATTTACGCAATTTCTGCAAACTCTTCTCTCATTCTGTTCCTTAAGCCTAATGAATTCAGGAGATAATTTAAGTTTTTTGTTTTCAGAAATTAAATCCACGAACACTTTGTAATATTAACCTGCCTAGCTCCACACAAATCTCCCTCCCAGATGCGTATTCTATCTAGAGCAAGGAAGGCACAGTCAGAGCAGGCAGAGGCCAATTAAGACATTCCTGCTTATCATTATAGAACTGGAATGGAGGCCTCCTTATTTTATTCTTAATAAAGACCAAGACAATCGTAGGCTTCACTAGATGACTGTAACCTAGTAGAATTTGCTAGGTAGTAGTAAAATAAATAATATGTAAGTATGTTAGAGATAGAGAAAGCAATCTATAATAAACATTGCTATGGTCATGCTTTCACAATTCTCTGAATTCATACTTCAAGTTTGAGCCACTAACTGTTGCAGCCCATGCTCTGTACCTGAAATCAGATGCTGAACAACCAAGGTGAAGTGCAGGGTTGATGTCCAGTCAGTCTGGTCCCTTAATTATTTTCATATTTTGCTTCTCAGCTCAGAGAAAAGTAAGTGAACTAGCTTTATGAGATATGTACAATCTGTTAAATGGGAATAATAAATATATGTATCTTGTGAAGTTATTTTAAGAATTACATGAATAATGCATGTAAAGCATTTATAGCAGACCCTGGCATGTTGAAGTGCCATATGCCTGTTTCCTATCAAAATTTCTCGGGAGACTGGACCCAAAACATTCCTTCATTTACAGAGAATGTTTTTAGTCAATATTGGTTTGAAGTTAAACCTCTAATTTTGATTTATGTCTAGCACTACAAAAAGTGTTAATATGTTCAAAGTAGGACTACACATACTAAAAGTCATTAACAACTTCACATGAATTCATTCATCCATCCATCCATCCATCCATCCATCCATCCATCCATTCACCCATTCACCCATGTAGCACTTCATCCATATATTCTGTATTTATTTAACAATTGCTTATTATGTGTTTCTTATTTCACAAATACAAACATGAAAAATATTTCTGCTATGAAGAGCTGGCATTTCCAGGTTTACAAATTGACGGTGAATAACTGGCCTAACGGTTCACTTTCTAATATGAGAATGAGCAGTACAATCATGAGTAAAAGGATGAATAGTTACTCTAATAAAAAACCCTAAGGCCCTGAGGTTACACATTTATTATGAATATACAATCTAATGGTCTGATATTTATTGTGAGAGAAAATTTTGCTGTATATTTCACTTCTTTGTTTCTGAGTTTTGAGACTGTGGGATTTTGACTAGGCTGGATTTTTATTTCAGCTACAACATAGGCCAACACAAATTACAAGCATTCGATTTGGAATTATCAAAACTCCTTGCTGGATTAAAATTGGAAATATATTTTAGAAATAATCAGGCTGGTTTTTAAATTGAGTTTTCAAACTAGAGAACTATACTCACTGAATATAAATTATCTAAGTGATATTCAAAAGTGGGAAGAGCTAACATCACTTATTATTCATATAATTCCACCTTCAAATAATGGTGAAACATTTAAAATAGAAAAGATTAATAAAAAAATGTTCAAGTGATATGGTAATTACATAAACTGTATTGTTTTTCAAAATGCCTATTATTACTATGAAATATTAGGGGAACTTATAAAACTTCACAAAATGAAAGGCAGATAATAATATGATACAATCATGATTGCAGAGATTTTTCAGCTTAGTATCTAACACATTTTTGTAGGTTGATAAATTGGGGCACAGTCCAAATGCATTCTCCTTATGACCATGTTATTATAATAATAATTACTTATATTACTCCTTCTAGATACTACCTATTTGAAGGAAATTATTATGTAGATTTCTATTACCACATATAAATATTGACTGATTTTGAGCATAAATGGATATATATGATATTCACGATCTGAATCTGGCTATTTGTGCTTTACATTATGATTGCAAGATCATTTTGTTCATAGCTGTTGCTAGTGTAATTCTTTGTTTTATTGCTGTGAAGAAACTGATTACAGTTGATTCTCATTGTTGTGGATTCTGTATTTATAGTTACCTACTTGTTTAAATGTATTTATAACCATGGCATTTTATGGTCATTTGTGGGCATACCTAGATGTGAAAACTTTTTTATTACTAAATATACACATGCCCCTCTGTATTTGAACAAGAAGATATTCTGCCTTCTTGTTTTAACTTTCATATTATAAATGAATATTCTTTCCATGCTCAATTTAATACCTTTAAAAAAAAATCCGTGCTTTTGACAATTTTGCTGTTTAAAACGGCCTCCACACATAGTGTTGAAGTGCTGTCTAGAGTTCCCAAGTACAAGAAGATTGTGATGCACCTAATGGTAAGTTTTGGTCAGGCATGAGTTGTAATGCTGTTGGCCTTGAGTTCCATCTTCATCAGTTAACAATGTGTATTAAATAAGGTGTCTTTAGACAGATACATACATAAAGCAAGGTGATGTATTGATTGGTTGATTCCAATAATATGAACAAAAGCTCAACAGATCATAACTCTTCACTTCCTTTATGAAATCAGTATTCAGTAATTCGGTGTTAGTGATGATTTATAGAGGAACTATCATAAATAATTAGAATTTACTATATTTGAGTATCAGACTTGTATTTATCCATTCTACTGCTAACAGACATTTAAAGTGTATTTAAATTTGTACTATGGTGAATAATACTATTTGCTACAATTTTGTACACTTTTTGGGTGCAAAGTATGCAATTCTTTTCGTATATGCATATATGAATTGAAATGTGAGACCAAATATTACATGTGAGTTTATGTGTGTGTATGCATGTTAAGCTATCCAAGGTGCATCATTTTCCAAATGATTATATTTAACTTCCAAAAATAGCATATGTGACTATCAGTAGTGATTAATTTTTAACTAATATTACATTTAATCTACTGATGAAATTAGGGAGCTGTGAAATCTTTACACTATTGAGACTTTTTCTATATTTCTGCATTGATGATCATTTTGTTTGTTAACATTTTTCTTTCAAGTTTTATAATAACCCTGTATTTCTCAAATAAATTCTTAAAATTGAAAAAGTCAAAATATATCTTCTAAAAATTCAAAGTGAATTACTAAAATTTAAATTGCTATGTATATGTTAAACAATAGTTTAAATAAAAGAGGAGAATGATTAACTAAGTTCAGAGATAGACCTGAATTACAAATAATGCAGTCAATCAAATAATGCAGTGTATTGAGGAAAAGATAAGGAAAATATAAAAGAGGAATTAAGACATAAAGTCAGAATTAACATATGTGCAATAATATTTCCTAAAATAGATAATAGAAAGAAAAGGGAAAATTTAATATTTCGGTCAAAATGAATAATAATTGCATAAAGTATAATAAACTATAATAATTAATAATTTATATAACATGAAACAATATAAAACCACTTATGTAAACCCTCAGATTTAGAAGGACAAGGAAACTCAATTGGAAAACAAAAAATTACACTTTAAAAAGACAGTAATTTATCTGCCTTTTTAAGATCTTCCTTTTTCCGTTTGGTTGTGTCACTTCAAAGAGGAAGATCTTAAAAAAGTGGATAAATTACTATGAGATGGTAGCAAATTTCTCAGTGGAAATAATGAATATCAAAATAAAGTAAAATATTACAAAAAGACTAAGTGGGAATTTAAAAAATAATTATAAAACTAGGGCACGATTTGTTTATTGTGTCAGAAACACAAAAACATAGACTTTATCACCAACGTAAATGGAAACAACATGGAAACAAATTGTTTACTTCAGGAATCAGGAAAATTAGTCGTAAGTTTGATCTGATAGTGAGCAAGGGAATTGATAAACATATGATCTATTAAAATATTAATTGTAGAAAACAACAAAAACAGGAGCAGCTTGCATGCAGAATGCAGGAGCCAAGGTGAGCAAAAAGGATTCTGTCCTTTAAATTTAGGGTATCTGTTCTTTGATTGTTGATTGACACTTCTGATTACAGAGCTACAGACAGAGGTGGGTGAACATTCTTGTTACACCTTGCCCATTGTTGCAAGCTTCTTTTCCTTTGGTAAAAGTGACTTCCAGGACATGTAAAGCCTAGTGCCTGTTTATACTCCTCTTTCATTTTTCTCCAGTTCTTCATTTTAGAACCAGACATTAAGTACTAGTTTATTTAAAAACAAGCGCATATAGGAGAAAAATTAGAAAGTGACCAGTTGGTGCCCAGAGGAAGGCTCAGAAAAATACCTTAGAAGACTTTAAGTTTACATTAGGCTGAACCTTGGAACAGAGACAGACTACAGTAATAAACAAAAGCAAAAATTGCAATTAAAAAAACAGCAGTGACTGAGCACAGTGGCTCACGCCTGTAATCCTAGCAATTTGGGAGACCAAGGTGGGTGGATCACCTGAGGTCGGGAGTTCAAGACCAACCTAACCAACATGGAGAAACACCATCTCTACTAAAAATACAAAATTAGCTAGGTGTGGTGGTGCATGCCTATAATCCCAGCTACTTGGGAGGCTGAGAGAGGAGAATCACTTGAACCCAGGAGGCGGAGGTTGCTGTGAGCCAATATCATGCCATTGCACTCCAGCCTGGGCAACAAGAGCAAAACTCTGTCTTAAAAAAAAAAAAAGGCAAACAAGAGGATGGGGAAGAATCTGATCTCTAGAATCATCACAGTTATTAGATTTGAATGCCTAGTCTTCAAAAACAAACAAAAAAAAGTCACAAGGTATACAAAGAAACAGAGAAGTATGGTCATTTAAATAAAATAGAATCACCTGTAATCCCAGCACTTTGGGAGGCCAAAGCAGGTGAATCACCAGGTCAG